TCCAAATAACAAGGAAATAAACCACTAAATCTGTAATGGCAAATCTTTCATAAATGATTTACTTCAATCTGTAAAAAGGGCCACCATGGAAACTTCAAAACATCAGCAGCTGTTGCCAAGGCTATTGGTTACTCTCTGCAACCTAACTGATGGTAAGGTCTTGTGGCTGAAAAGAATGCTTACATATCTCATTGAACACAGAACTTAAGCTAGTGCCTAACTAGAAGCTTCATTCCTATTGACTAGCATTCATGGTATTGGAAGGCACTCAGAGGCTATAAGATGAGAAAGGTAATTGTCAACCCAGCTACAAACCCTGTGACATACAACAGTGACTTGCTGTAAGATACACTGTTGAAATAGTGGCACAAATGTTACGAGAGTTTTCAACACTTTGTGATGAGATTTAAGGTCCACTCCATGAAACGAAAACCTGATCTGACACTACTAAAGAGGCCAAGTACTTGAGATTAGATAGGCCATGAGCCCAGGAGGAAACCAAATACTATTAAGTAACATAACAATAATATGACATCTAATGCCATTGTGCTGGACCCATAGGTCAGCACCTCACTCAGCCCTCATCAAAGAAGTTTCTTCTTGCAGCAGATGAGAACTAACACAGAGACCCCCAAAGTGGAAAATGTGCAAAGATCAAGAGACTTCGGAGCACTCATTACTAAATGGGAATTCTTTATCAAAGATACTCCTCTAAAGTTCAGGGATCTATGTAGAAGAGGAGACAGAAAGATTGTAAGAGGCAGAGGTGATGGATGACTCAAAAATAAAATAAAGGTGTCTTTCAGGCATAGCAGGAGTGATTGATTTTGATGGACATATAAACACTGTGACATCATTCAAATGGCCTTCAAAGTTTCAAGCTAAATGGGGTCCCAGCACTGAGAGGGGCAAATGGACATGAGCTCCCCGCCCTAATCAAGAAGAGATCTGCTATTGAAACCCACTGGCATAGGAAAATTTAGTTTTCCCCAGTGGAATCTAACCAGGTATATTAACATTTCAAGACAGGCTCCATGCCCAGGAGGCAATGGCCAAGATAAAACAATCTGAAATGTATGTTTGTAGACCTTTTATATTAGTTGCTTTGTCTTATTGGTCTTCTGCTTGTATATTTTGGTTTCCATATATGTGGAGTTTTTTTTTTTTTTTTTTTTTTTTTTTGTGTGTGTGTGTGTGTTTCTGGTTTTTGTTTTTTAAAGAGAACATAAAAGTGCATAGATACAGAGATGAAGATTGAGGAGGAACTGAAGGAGAGGAAAACATAATCAAAATATATTGCATGAGAAAAGTTTTACAATAAGAAAAAGGTGCAAAAATCAGTGACTTCAAGCATGTAGTAAGACGTTAATGATTCCTTTTACTTTTAAAAGTTTGTTATACTTGAAAAGTTTGGGGCAGTGATTTGGAGTAAGTCAAAGAATACCTTTAAAATGTAAATTGTAGACTTTAATTAGCTAACTAAAGCAATAAGTACCTTCATAAGTTTTCAATAAAATAAGGGAGTATACTGTCTATGGAACAGATATTTCTTTCAAGACCACTATCAAACCTGTAGGAGAGGATCTGTGCTGGCTGGCTGGAAACACACCTTAGTCTTGACCATAAAGTTTTGAAGCTTCCTGGCATTTATCTCAGGGAAACTCTCAAGTCAAGTCACCATTTATATAGAAGAGACATACTGACTAGGAAGGGAGAAAACTGGGGAACACATGCAAATTTCATGTTTGCTAGAATTATTAATAATTATCTAGCCATAGTAGAGTTTGAAAAGTTATTTTGTTGAGTTGAGTTTTTTTTTTATTTTCCTCATGTAGTATGAATAGCAAATTTCAAACCTTTTTTCTGCTCTTTTTTTTTTTTCCTTTTTTTTTTTATTAATTTATTTTGCAATACAATTCAGTTCTACATATCAGCCACGGATTCCCTTGTTCTCCCCCCTCCCGTCCCCCTCACCTTCCCCCCAACCCCCCCCCCCCCCATTCCCATCTCCTCCAGGGCAAAGCCTTCCCCACAGACTGAGGTCAACCTGGTAGACTCAGTCCAGGTAGGTCTAGTCCCCTCCTCCCAGGCCGAGCCAAACAATCCTGCATAGGCCCCAGGTTTCAAACAGCCAACTCATGCAATGAGCACAAGATCTGGTCCCACTGCCTGGGTGCCTCCCAAACAGATCAAGTCAATCAACTGTCTCATCCATTCAGAGGGCCTGATCCAGTGGGGACCCCTCAGCCATTGGTTCATAGTTCATGTGTTTCCATTCATTTGGCTATTTGTCCCTGTGCTTTATCCAACCTTGGTCTCAACAATTCTCGCTCATATAAACCCTCCTCATTCTCGCTAATTGGACTCCCAGAGATCCACCCGGGGCCTAGTCATGGATTTCTGCATCCAGATCCCTCAGTAGTTGGATGAGGTTTCTAGCACGACAATTAGGGTGTTTGGCCATCCCATCACCAGAGTAGGTCAGTTCGGGCTGTCTCTCGACATGAGAATAGGAAGAAGCAAAGTGCTAGAGAGGCCCACAGAAATCCACAAAGATACCCACACAACAGACTGCTGGCAGTGGTCGAGAGACAGCCCGAACTGACCTTTTTTCTGCTCTTAATCACTAAGAGGAATGAAAGACAAAGGGATGCATGCAGACTCTAGCACTTTGAACAATGGCTGTTCTGGATGTCTTAGTAGTCAAGGGAAATGTGACTCATGGGAAAAGAAAATACTCCCTACCCACACATTTCTTTTTTATTGCTAAATACTGAAGTTTTCAGCAAGGATGTACCCTTGTGTGCCTCCCAGAATGTGTGGCAAAATAAGATTTTCTTATAGAATGATATTAGAGTTATCTTCAGCTGTCAAATTAACACAATTCAGTCATTTTAGAAGAAAGACTATCAATTTAAGAATTGCCTAGATATTGGCCTGTTGTCACATCTGTGTAGTGTTTTCAATTATAATGTAAATATATCATTTTTCTCTTTCCTCCTTCGAACTGTTCCATATACCCTTCCTTGTTCTCTATCAATTTCCTGGCCTCTTTTTTCATTATTTGTTGTTATATGTATATATATATTCAAATTATGATTATGATATATACATATATGACTATGACAAAATTATATTTGTGAAATAATAATTAAAATCACATCTACCTATTGCTTTGTTAAGATTATCAAAAATTCTTCTCAGGCAGACATTTTTAGTTTTGGTGGTGTTATAATTTCAAGTCTGTTATAAAGTTTATAGAGGAACTGCTTCTGCTGTATTTTCTCACTTATGCTTCTTTTAAAGAAGAAAGCTTGTACTTTATTAAAAATGTCTTTTAAAGAGGAAAACTTGTGCTTTCTTATTAAGGTCTTGCACATAATTTAATGTTTGCATATCCTGGAGTACATATTGAAAATTTTCTTTCAGATTCCAGACAAATCCAGAGTATCATCAAATTTGAAACAGAATTGTAATACACTGAAAAGATTACATTATCCATTTGGATGGAAACCGTATGCAATTCCAGTTATTTGACGTGAAAGCAAATAGTTTATACTAGGGACACATGGTCTTTCTACCCACAAGCTTAATTTGTTCATCTCTCCTATTTCCTTGTGCTCTTGAAAAATATTTATCAGTCACAGCTTTAACTTCTTAAACTTTGAATGGGGAGTGTATGTTACACAGCACAGTTATGGAGGTTTTGTTTGTACCACAGCAACCAGAAAACCTGAGGGAGTGTGAGAGAGGATGAAAATATTGTAAAACACTGAAAAAGAGTTGTAGGAATTCATTGATGACTTTGTAAAAACTATCCAAAGAGGCAGCATTTGGCATATATATATATATATATATATATATATATATATATATATATATATATATATATATATATGTGTGTGTGTGTGTGTGTTTGATCAGTCAGCAAGAAATTATTTGGTTTCTCATTTTAGTTACAAAGAAAACAGTCTTTTAATAGACTATGAGATAATGATGCTTGTTAACAACATTGCTCTCAGTAGCAACAACATTATAATCACCAAGCGCTCTCATGACATGCTTTTACCAGTGCTATTAATTTATATGCTACTGGTAACTCCTCAAATTATTTTAAAAAGCAGGATCAAGTTTCATCTATAAAACTAATTGAACATCACAGAAAATGTTCTACTTTTGTGATTTTAGATTTGTTACTTGTGATGATAATTTTGCAGTTGGGTTGATGATTAATTAAATGTTATTACAAACATAATCTAAAACATCACATTGAACAATATATTACTAGATGAAACTGGTTTAATTAGCATTACTGATCAAGACTATGAGCCTCAAATTATCATGAGATTACAGACACATTTGTGAAATTAAACAGCACTGTATTAGGTAAACACATAAACCACCTTCCTAACAGTAGAAATACTAGCCAAATACTCTAAATGATTTAATATCCAGATAAGCCAAATTTAATATAATAATCTATATTAAATATCAAAGAAGATAAAAATGTTATTCATTAAAAAGCCATATGTACAAACCATAATAACTACCTAAGTTTTTAGACTTATGGCTTTGTCACTAACAAGAAACCAGGAACCTGAGTTATTAAACATTAGAATTTTCTCTAGTTGCTATACCACTAAAATTTTAATACTGTTGATGTTTGCTTTCTTTTTAAATATTTTTAGTAATTCTCTAAGAATCTCATATATTGCATTTTGATTATATTATCTCCCCTTCCCCAACTTTTCCCAGATTCACCTTGCTTCTCTAACCATCAAACTTAGTGTCCTTGTTTATTTTTATAACCCATCCATCATTTTCAACTTTTTCTGCTCATATATTTTTGGATATGTGGCTTCCACAGGAATTTGTTCAAGACCAGCATTCATATTCTTAAAGAAAATAAACTCTTCAAACCATGAATGTTCTGAGACATCTCTGAGGAACTCTCCAGTTTAAGCCCAGCTGACATAGTAGAAAAGTAGGTAGTCACTCACCATTCTGTTCCCGCTGCACCCCAGCTGCCAGTAGGTCAGGCTCCCCTAGGCTGATGTCATTCAGCCTTGTCCCCAGGCATTCCATACAAAGGTGTTTGCACCACTCCTCAGCCTCCAGTTCTGAAAATGAGCATACATGTCAGGACAGGGGACATATAGTGGGAGAATGCTTCCTGAACCTACCTGAATGCTACCAAGAAGCTGGTAGGACTTGAACAAAGAAAGCTATATTGAGGAATCAGGAAAAATTTCCACAATTATTTCTCATTTATTAGTGTGTGTGTGTGTGTGTGTGTGTGTGTGTGTGTGTGTGTGTGTGTGTGTTGTGTGTGTGTGTCCGCCCAAAGAAGTCAGAAGAGGACATCAGATCCCCTGATGATGGTGTTATAAACAATTGTAAACTGCCTAATGTGTATGCTAAGAACTGAACTTAGGTCTTCTGAAAAAGCAGGATGTGCCCTGAACCACTGATTCATTTCTCTAACATCTAGTTCCCATTTTTCCAGGTGCTTTTATGCATTAACTGATAGAAATTCCAACCATGCCCCTTGGTCGTGCATGCCTAGTCTTGGTCTCTGCCTAGTCATTTCCGGGTCATATGTCCTACGTGACCCATGTGATCTCTGTGCGTGGACCCATTGCAGATGCGACCTGGCCCTTATAAGGCGGTGCCATATTCCCTAGGTCTCTCTCTCTGCGCCTCTCTTTCTGCTAGGCCTGGCTTCTCCTGTCCTATCCCCTTTTCTCTCTAATAAAGCCCATTCTAACTCTGGTAACCATGGCTCGTGACTCTTCTGCTGAACAACCAGCGCTGTTATCCTTTCATTAACCATAATACTACTCATTTTAGAATATTTTAGAATGAGTAAAGTTTTAGATGAAAATTTCTTAGAAAAGTAATTTAAATATAAAATAAAAACAAACAAGCAAACAATTGAAAGAAAAACTATATTAAGCATGTTAATGTTTTCCTGATTCTGCTTCTGAAATGTGTGGCCTGGAGGTCAGATCCCTAACTCATTGGGAATTATAAAGGATCATGAATCTGTCCTAGAATGAGATTACTTTTGTATGCATTGGTATTCCTTTACTACAAAGAGAAGGAAGGTGTCATGATCTTGTCATAAATTCTATGTAAATGTGTTCTACAGGCTTGTATGTTTGAGCACTCAGTATCTAGGTGGTGGCACTGTTTAGGGAGGTTTACAACAATTAGAACAGTGATTCTCAATCTGTGTATCATGACCCCTTTGGGGGTCCTATGACCTTTTGCAGGGGTCATCTAAGACCATTTGCATAATAATTATTTAAATTATGATACATAACAGTAGTAAAACTACAGATAAGAAGTAGCAATAAAAATAATTTTTTGGGGTGACCACAACATGAGGAACTGTGTTAAGGGATCATAAAATTAGCAAGGTTGAAAACCACTGCTTTAGAATGTATGATCCTGCTAAAGGAGGTAGATTGCCTGGAGGTGGGCCTTGAGACTTTTAACTGGTTTTGCTTTCAGCCAGACAGAGGCCTTTAATATTTTGTTGACATGTTATAACAACTGCCCAGCATTCTCACCAATGAGGACCAATATGAGTCTGATAACTTCACAGTTGTGATAGATTTGTTGATATTGATATCTTCTGAACCATAAGCCAAAATAAATATGTCCTCCCTGTCAGCAAGGTTTGCTATCACAGTAATGACAAAAATGACCAATACACATCTACAAAGTATCTTTCCAATCAATCACTCATTATTCTTGTCTGGATTACTTCCCAGTTTCGTTGCATTCAAAAGATATTCTTTTTTTCTCTGCTGGAAATACCAGAGTAGCTCCCATATATCCAGAATCCCATAGTACAAAAACTCTTGGGCTTTTGTTTACATGAGCTACTGAAGTTCTAATATGAGGTCACTGCGGATGAGGGTTCAGTTGATGACAGAACAGCAGCCAAGTAGCCAAGCTACTTTGCAGATTTTTATAAAGATACAAAGTTTAATATTTAGGGGCAATCACCAATATCACAATAGGAAAATTGGATCCAAACTTTTGCATTGGCACCTGCTCAGAGAAGTTTCTGACTTTTCCATGCAGCATAAATCTGTACTAGAACTATGTAATATAGATTTCCATCAAATCTCTTGCTCTTTGTGGATGACACTACAACCTTTGCTTTGACATTTTAAACTCCCCATAAAAAGTTATCTGTGACAGATTTTCTTGACTTCAGGGATTTTAATATCAAGTTCTTTCCTGCCATCCGGCCAACTCTACCAAGGTCAAATGATGCTTCCCTCCTGAGTTTGGTCACACTGCCTTAACATTAAATAGGCTTGATTAACGTGATATCAAGACAGATTTGCTGCTTCTTTTTAGTCTTATGTAGATCAAAATATTCACTAGAACATAAAGCAGAAAGATCCTGCATTTTACCACATAATAAAAACAATGACCCTGATTTTCTAATTATGGGAGGCATTATAACTACCTCTGGTGCTGTTGAGATATTTATGACTTTGTTTTGTATCTGTCACATTAGAGTCAGATTCCTGCTCATCTCTGCATGTGGGTATGTTAGTCATTTAAGGACTATTTATTAGAAACTGATAATGTCCTTCCTTCAAGGATGAAGACACCATGATAGTAACTAAATAGTAGCTAAATTCTCAAAAATTGTAGGGATATTTACAGCAACCTTTCTCTGACTTCTGGAATATACTGAAAAATCTTCAAGTCATTACCTGAAACTGGTCACATTGGGTTCTAGGAACAAGGAAGCTTGTAAGAAGATCACTTCTTTATGAAACTGCTCTTTCTAAATAGGAACAACCACCCCATAAATGGGAACAACTGCCCCACATTGGGAACAGCTGTCCCATAATGGGAACAGAGCTTGATCTACTATGCAAGAACAACCATTTCAGGATGGAATCTGGCTTGTTCCTTCAAGCAATGATTCTCGAGGTCCCCTTGTAGAATTCTGAGGCTCAGCTGGACCAGAGTCTGAACAAGCTAGTACTGCTTCAGTTCTTCCTGTTTAATCCAATGTTCTATCAGGTGCCCCCAGACGGAGATAAAGATTATTGCTCTGTGTCTCATGTGATCACATTGAGTATTAAATTTATTTCTTGCCTTCAACATCGCTGTTTTCCTTTGCCTTCTTGGTGCCAGTTGCTGGATATGATTTATTGGGATTTGTTTCTCTCTCTCTCTCTCTCTCTCTCTCTCTCTCTCTCTCTCTCTCTCTCTCTCTCTCTCTCTCTCCAGAATTGAGCTTCCGGCCTGCTGCTTCACTCAAGGGATGTGAGTTGCACCATTGCACAAGCCTAAACCCTCCTCTTCCCAGCAAGTGCCCTTCCTACTTTCAAGTCTTTTGAACGTGTGTGACCCACTGAGTTTAAACGGTGTTCCTGCGTAGGCCTGAATGGGAGGTTATTTCCTAGGACAACCAGGACAATTTGTGTGTGGTGACATCAGTGACACAGGCAGCACCCCTTCCTCTGGCCAGCATTAACTGTCCTTTTTCAATTAGTGCAGCCATGTTTTTTCACTTGTACTTTCTTATGTAAGCTCTGTATGTTTAAATATTTTGGTTTTTTATGCATGTTAGTTTAATTTGTTCTTTGTACTTAGTATTTTTCTGTGAACTCCGTTTCATTAAAACCCATGACCTCTTGCAAACTAGGAAAGTAACTTACAAATAGGCTATACTGTGTGTGTGTGTGTGTGTGTGTGTGTGTGTGTGTGTGTGTGTGTGTGTATGTGTGTGTGTGTGTGTGTGTGTACATATATACTTCTTTCTTATAAAGCTGAGGTTCACTACAAATGAAAGTTCTATAGACCTATTGCCTTCTGTCATTTGTTTTACACATCAAACTTCTTAGTCTACCCAGAATGTGCAAATAACTAAATTCCTTTGTGGATGAAGAGATATTAAATGTTCCATAAAGTTTTCCATATTTTTCTCTCCATGAAAGGAGTGTTTTTTCATTAAGCAACTTTAACCCGTTAGCTTGTAGCTGTGCTTAAGCTCTGAACTCTATACTAGAAACTCAAATATTTCATCATGTCTAATATTAAATTAAGAAAGTTGGTGATTTTCAAACTAAAAATTGAAAGATATGTGGGAATAGCAAGATAAACAGAAAAAGGTGAAGTATGTGAGAAATATATGTGTTTGTGGAAAGAAGTGACAGATAAACAAAAATTGTAGGCCAATATATAGTTCATATCTGGGAAAGTGTTTTCCACTTTCCCTTTACAGAGTTTCAAGGCAGTGAGACTGCATCCCTTTTAATAAGGAAAATGGCCATTACATGTAATGTCCTAAGAAAGGCCTTTTGAGTAAATGATTACATTCAGGCTTTATTGCTTTCATTAATTCTGGGCTTAAGACAATGACATTCCACTATAGACTACTGGCAATGGTCGAGAGAGTGCCTGAGCTGACCTGCTTTGGTGATTGGATGGCTAAACACCCTAACTGTCATGATAGAACTCTCATCCAGTGACTGGTGGAAGCAGATGCAGAGATCCACAGCCAAACCCCACGTGGAGCTCCAGGAGTCCAATTGGCGAGAGAGAGGAGGGATTATATGAGCAAGAGAGATGGAGGCCATGATTGAAAAAAGCACAGGGACAAATAGCCAAACTAGCAGAAACACATGAACTGTGAACCAATAGCTGAGGAGCCCCCACGGAACTGGACCAGGCCCTCTGAATAAGTGAGACAGTTGATGAGCTTGAACTGTTTAGGAGGCCCCCAGTGGGACTAGGACCTGTTCTTGGTGCATGAGTTGGCATTTTGGAACCTAGGGCCTATGCTGAGACACTTTGCTCAGCCTTGGTGTAGGGAGGAGGGGACTGGACCTGCCTCAACTGAATCTACCAGGCTGGGCTGAATCCCCAGAGGAGACCTTGCCTTGGAGGAGGTGGGAATGGGGGGTATATTGGGGGGAAGGCTGGGGGATAGGAGGAGAGAGGACAGGGGAATCCTTGGTTGATATGTAAAATTAAATTAATTATAAAATACAAATGTTTATTAAAAATAAGAATGTTATGGAATAGTCATGCTCTATTACTCCCCCCCTGCAAAAAAAAGACAATGACATTAAGTGAT